TTAATCTTAGTAATCACATTGTATTATATATATTATTGGCTCAAATTCTATTTAATCTCATCATTCAACTTATCTAACACAAACTAATCACAAAATTGAAGATTTCCGCCCATATGGAACCCGTCCACCATGCATACCGGTTTTGAGAGGGCCAACAGTAGATTATGAAAATCATTGTAATCTATTTTTAGAGTTGTAGATTTTCTTTTGACAGTACTCATATAAATAGGAGCATTCGGAGTTTGAACGAAGCTTTATAACCAAACACTTTAGTAATTTTATGAGAGCGGAATTAAAATTGATTTAGAATCCATTTAGATTAAAAAATAATGACTAAAAATCTAATTAATCCTAATCTTGACTCTAACCCTTAATAATACCACTTAGTCATGTCGGCAATGATTCAATTTTTCCAAAAATTATTGAATGTAACAATATTCGATATCTTTATTTTATTTTTGCTTACATTCATAGGCTATATTATTCATCTTGCAATAAAGTATCCGGATGGTATAGGAATAACCTCTAGGAAAGATATCCCTGGACCTAAGGGTGTTCCTATATTTGGAAATTTATTCACACTTATGTTTAAAAAAAATACTTATATTGAATTCGAACAAGAAATGGAAAATAAATATGGTTCACCTTTGTAATTATCTATTTTTTTTTTTAAAAAAAAATGCTTATTGATAAAAAAAAAAATATTCATTTCTATCTTTACTATTATTATTTATAATTTTACATAAAAATAGCACATTTGCAATTCTTAATTATGGACGAAATATTATCTCAAATGATCCACAAACAGTAGAGCACGTCGTAAAAAGTGAGTATTCTAAATCAAGTGTTAACATGAATAATTTTTTAATATTAATTAAAATTTATGTCTTAATTTAAGCGGACTTTGAGAATTTTGGAAGAGATCCTAATTTTATCAAAACGTCTCAAGAATTGCTTGGAGATGGAATATTTCTGGCTGAGGGGTCTGTATCTTAGTGAAATTATTATTTTTTATGTAAACTATTTTAATACTCATTGATATATATATGTAATAAAGTCCTATGTGGAAATTTCAAAGAAAACTAATAAGTCAACAGTTTCAAGGAAAGAAATTTAGAAATCTGACTTATGCATCTATAATTCGAAAATCTGAAATCGTAATAAATGCTTTAAAAAAGTATGCAGATAGTGAAAACCCTATTGATTTAAAAGACTTATTTTTCAGATTTACTATAGATACTATTGGAGAGTAAGTTTTCTTTATATAACTCTTATAAACAATAATATTGTCAATTTTATTGAATTTGATTTATTTTTTTCAAAAATGATAGTTTGGCATTTGGTGTGGATTTTGGATGTCTAACCCATATTGGTGAAGAATCAAAATTTGTTACTAATTTTGAATACATTCAAAAAAGAATACATGAAAGAATGTTTGAACCTTTCTGGAAATTAACAGAAAAATATAGTGAAAAAGGTCAACAAATGCGTGAAGCTTTAAAATATATTGATAACTATGTATATAATATGATAAATAGTCATAGATCCGAGCTTGAAGTTGAGAAGAAACCAGTTAACAATATGTTAACTTTGCTTATGGATGCTGTTGATGATGATGGTAAAAAATTTAATGATAAAGAGTTGAAAGATATTGTAATGAGTCTCATTATTGCTGGTATGTTTATATTATAAAAAGTAGCGAAAATGAGATGATGTGATTTCTTGTTTTTTATTATCTAAACTTTTATTTATTATCATTTAGGTCGTGATACTACTGCACTGGTAAGTTGCAATTGCTGATTTAAAAAACAATCCTTATACTAAACTTTTGAATTAAATAGTCTCTATCTTGGATGTTATATGAAATCATGGCAAACCAATCTATTGAAGACTCATTGCTTCAAGAAATTAATTCACTTCTCTCTACAGAAAGGCCTATCCCATTATATAATGATATTAAATTATTTAAATATGCTACAGCTACGCTTTATGAAACTCTTCGGTTACATCCTTTTGTTCCCGTAAATGGGAAGGTAATTATAATAAATTTAAGGGGTAGTTCGCAGCTAAAGGGTAGAAATTTCATAGTAAAAATCGGCGGAATTACTTATAGAATTTTAATA